GTTCCATCGGCAAGTCCTGGCAGCAGCCCTTCCACAAATAGCCCAAATGTTTTTCTTTAGAGAAATCCACTTACACTTAGTTAGCAAAATTTATTCAAAGAGACAGTACTGAATGAGTGGATAAATCTGATATAAGTCTGTTCTTGAGGTAAGGTTTCTTCTATTTCATAGTTCCTAACTAATATTATTCTGACTGCAGTTTTTTTAACTTTTAAAGTTGCATATTTTTATAATTATAAAAACTTTTACAGACACCCTTTATTCTAGACTTCTAATATATTTTGTATAGAGTTTGGTATAATTCTCCATATGCTTTTGTGTCATAGTTTTTCATCTAATTTATAATATTATATTCAGTTAATATTTTATTTAATGCATATATTCATATTGTATTATATTTCATTAGTATTCTTCAAAAGAAGCATTTCTAATGCCATTATAATATGTCCATGCCATAATTTATTTGCATATTTCCTAAACGATTGTTTCCTTTGGACACTTTTGTAAAGTACATTAAATTTTTTTTTAATCATAAACAAAATTTAATGGTGTTTTTGAGTGAATGGGACAACAAAGGCAATTTTTTACCTGAAATGATAAGTTTTTTGATGGAAATATTTATATATAGGAAATGACTGTGTGTCTGTCTAGACTGGCTTTGACTGTTCCTGGCAATATTGTCATTAAGTTCAATATTTAAGGCAAACATTTTACGTACTTTTCTGGATGACCTTTGCAAAGATTATGCTGGAGACCTAGAGAGGAAGACAACATCATCTACTGAAGCACTAGGTCATGCATACCAACGCCTAATAGCTTTATGGCTTGTATCTCATATAAGCCATTGGAAAGCCCTGTATTTTTGGTAATCTTATATTCATGTTGCAGATCGCAAAACTGAGGTTTAGATTATAACCAAACAAAACCAAACCAAGGCCATACAGATTGCATGAATAAAGAATCATTTTAATTTATCCTAGTAGATTGGATCAGAGCTCTGCTCTTACAGCCAGGCTTAACTCAGAATAGTTTTGTATCCCTTGAACTAATATTTTTCAGCATTACTTTCCACTTATATAAGCTACATATATATTTATATATAAAAAAATTTAAATTGATTTCTATGGAAAGTAGCCAAAAATAAGTACCTAATAATTAAAATAAAAAGTGTATATGTACACAGTCCATAAGGTCACATTCTCAGTATGGCCCCTGCCTCATCTTGGGAAATTTTATTAATTTGTGGGAATATTACAAATTCGTACAAATAGAAATTTTTCAAAGATTATCTGAATGTCTTGACATTCTCAAAGTGAACTGAAGCAAGCCTGATTTTCATTTCAGAACCAGAAATTTTTTAGAATTTGCTGAGCCTCCCAACTTTTTGGGACCTCCTCTTCCTTATCAGGTGCCCTGTAGGACTGAGTCTCTCCCATTCAGTACCTCTCTGATGACAGTGGAGCCATTGGGTCAGCATCAGAGGTAATGCTGACTCTCAGACTTTGTAGTTAAATACTGGTGACAAGACAAAAAACCTAGTTATCCCCTTGAGAACTGTTTATGATCTTGAGGAGAAGATGGGTATGATTTGAATAGGAAGCAGGAAGGATAGTTTTAGGAATGCATTTTAAGGCACATTGGGGAAGGAGGTTTGTAAGCAGGATATCTTTGAGTGGCTACTTACTGATTTTATATATAGGTAACTGTAGAGGCAGAAGTTGTGGTCAGCCTCCTAGTACCTGACTGTCACATATATAAATCAAATATTTTTGGTTTACCTCCTGTTTCTTCCTGAGTATTCTTATTAGGTTCTTTGTGCATATCTATTTCTATTCCCTTTCTCCACAAGCTTTACTTTTGCCAGAAATATTCAAACTAAGGGGTGATGATTGGTTTCCTAGGTCTAAGTTAGAAAGAATATCTTCAATACTACTATCAAACAACAGTTTCTGTCTGTTGTTTATGTGAACCAGGAGTTTGGTGTTTGGTCTACAGGTAGGTTCTTTTACAAAATAAAATTTCTGACTCAGCAGACTGAAACTCCAGGCCAAACCTTCCTGTGAACCAGTTGCTAGGCCAGCCCCCATGGTGACCAGGCACAAAGCCATGTTGTCAGAGGACTCCTATAGAAGTCTGCCTGCGGATCATGACAGATGATCTGCTAGAACCTTTAGATGGGTTGACTGGTCAAGGGCTTTCTCTGCCAAAGCCAGTCTGCAAAGACTGGAATAATTTTCTATTACTTCAAATGCACGGGCACCAACTCATGGCCACAAGGATCATGAAAAATCAGGAAACATGACACTACCGAAGGAACAAAATAAAGCACCAGTGGTCAATCGTAAAGAAATAGAGATTTACGAATTGTCTGAAACAATTTAAAATAATCATCTTATAAAGAAGCTCAATCAGTGAGCTATAAGAATACAGATACACAACTAAAGGAAATCAGGAGAACAATGCAAAACAAAATTAGAATTTCAATAGAAAGATAGAAACTATAAAAAAGAACCAAATTCTGGAGCTAAATCACACAATGATTGAATTGAAAAATTCCAGAAAGAGCTATAGCAGCAGACTTGATCAAGCAGAAAAAACCAAAATGAGTCAGTGAGCTTGAAGACAGGTCATTTGAAATTACCCATTTAGAGAATCGAAAAGAAAAAAGAATGAAAGAGAGTGAAGAAAGCTGCTATGTTTAAATGTGTCCACTTGAAAATTCATAATCTGCATGTGGTAGTATTAAGAGGTGGGGCCTAACATCCAATATCAGCAGAATACACATTCTTCTTGAGTGCGCATGAAGCATTCTCCAGGATAGATCATATGCTAGGCCATTAAAAACAAATCTTAACAAACTTAAGAAGATTGAAATCATATCATGTATATTTTCTAAGTACAGTGGTATGAAACTAGAAATAGGAGGAATTTTGGAAAATTCACAAATATGTGGAAATTAAACAACATGGTTCTGAACAACCTTTGGGTCAAAGAAGGAATTAAAATGGAAAAAATGTCTTGAAACAATTGAAAATGGAACCACCACATACCTAATGACGAATTAAAATGGAACCAACCACACACCACACACCAAAACTTATGGGATGCAGCAAAAGCAGTTCTAAAAGGAAAGTTTATAGCAATAAATGTCTATACCAAAAAAGAAGAAAAATCTCAAACAGCTTAATGTTAAACCTTCAGGAACTAGGAAAAGAACAGACTAAGCTCAATGGTGGTAGAAGGAAGGAAATAAGATCAGACCAAAAAGAAAAAAAAAAGAAATAGAGACTAGCAATAGCAAAACAACAGAAAATATCAATAAAACTAAGAGTTGGCATTTTGGAAAGATAAAGTCAACAAACCTATAGCTAAATTAACTAAGAAAAAAATAGAGGAGAGTCAAATAAAAAACCAGAGATAAAAGAAGAGCCATTACAGCTGATACCACAGAAATACAAAGGACCACGAGACTATGTTGAACAATTATACACTAACAAATTGGATTAACTACAAGAAATGGACAAACTTCTAGAGACATACAACCTACCGAGATTGAATCATAAAGAAACAGAAAATCTGAACCAAAGAAAAATGAGAACATTGTATCAGGAATAAAAATACGGGCCGGCCCGGTGGCGCACTGGAAAGTGCGCTGCTTGGGAAGCGCGGCGGCGCTCCCGCCCGAGGGTTCGGATCCCACATGGACCGGTTCCTGCTCACTGGCTGAGCGAGGCGCGGGGGCAACGCCGAGGGTTGCAATCCCGTTGCCGGTCCCCGGTCCGGTACGGGGGCAACACTGAGGGTTGCGATCCGTTGCCGGACACGGAAAAAGACAAAAAAAGACAAAAAAAAATAAATAAATAAATAAAAATTCTCCCATCAAGGAAAAGCCCCAAACCTGATGGCTTCACTGCTGATCAAATGAAAATAAGATGATTAGATGAATTTTACTCAATGAGGTGTACATTTTTACATCACAGGCAAACTTTAGAGACTCTTATCACTGTAGAATTTAAAAAGAAGCTTTAAACTTACTGTTTTGTTTTAATAAAGAAATCATAAAGCCTGAAGTAGATGAAGAAGGAATTGTCTCGATGTGAGAATCTATGCAGTGCTTCAGGGGGCTTGCATTCGGTGCTCGGTCTCTGTACTGCCAGTGCCCTGCTTGTGTTGTTTCATTGTTGCTGCCATGGTGCTGTGAGTTCACAGGGTTACAAGGTAATGGGGTTGGGTGCATACTCTGGGCTGAAGAGCATCCAAGCAGAGGACAAATGCACTTTGATCCATAGTGTGACTTCATCTTTGGGGAAGGACAAGTATAGAGTAGGGTCCTCTACCAGGTCTGTGTTGAGAAAGTTTGAGGACAGGCTGTTTTTATCAGGCCATGCTAGACCAAGCCTTGCCATAGAAGCGGAATTGCAGGGGCTGGTGCAGCTCTGCCCATACTCACCAACTCCCTGGTTCATTATCAGGAATTGTCATTCCCCCTACTTCTTTTGTATTATCTCGAGGCTTTTAGGAGGTAAAAGGTATTTCCTCTGTCTCTGAACATATTTTGGGAATTCCTTACATTAACTTACTTTACCATGGCCGGTATTATTGTAGCAGTAGAAACGCTGAAGTCACGAAGTTGAAAGGAAGGAACAGTTTAATGATTCCTGGCAGGGATGGGAAGGCAACCAAGATGGGGTGGTTGTCTGGCCATGAGATCTGATCTAATCTTTGAAGGAAGAGGAGGGTGAGAAGGAAACTCCTTCTATATATACTATAATGGTATTTACGAGAGTTTGTGGAAAGATTTCTACTGTCTTTTAATTCTATTTTTTCACAAACTTTTTGAATACCCCTCATATTTTTCTCAAAATGTATCTGAAGGACAAAATAGGTTTGGTGTCTGGCATTGATATCACAGATGCTTTAGAATGTTTGCTCTGTTTATAACTAGGGTCATTGTTTGTCCTGGATCCCATGCTCACTGTGTTTTTGTTGGCTCTCTTAAGAATTGCCTGAGGTCCCTTCGGTTGAGGAGGAGGTAGAAGAAACAGAGTCTTGGGCAAAGCCTCTCATCCACCTTTGGCAGACAAAGCCGCCTAACTTTGCAGCTGAGCAAGAGTATAATGCAGCTGTGGCCAAAATGGAGCCACACTGTGCCATCTGCACTCTGCTCATGCCGTACTACAAGGTAAGGGGGGTGCTGTCAAAGTTTCCTTTCACTGCTGCACATTCTATGTGACTGGCCACCTACCAGGTCACCTGCAAGTCCATGTAGGCTTAGAATGCATATCAGAAGGACAGTAATCCTTGTATGTCTAATGGCCTTCATAGAACAACAAACAGTTTCTAAGTAGTGCTTGGGAAACATTTTTCTGACAGTACTTCATCATTTTTGAATGTCTTTGTGTATTTCATGCAAGGGGCAATTCCAGTCTTTCTAAACTTTTTACTAGGAAATATAAAACTTAAAGCTAAAAAATAGTAGAAGCTTGCAAAGAGAGAACCTAGATTTTGTCTTTGTTTTTTATTTGAAAGTGTCACTCTCAAATAACATACTGTCAGCTCTGGGCCCGTATTTTAAAACTCTCTCTTTGCCTTCCTATGTGGAACATGCAAGAGACACAGCCAAGACTTGATAGAAACTGAATTGTCCAGTTCACCCTACTCAGCCAGCTGTGCTTGATGTTGTTTTCAACATTATTCCATGTTTGTTACACTGATAGCATCTCCGCTCATGGGGGAGTCACATTTTTTTCAGCACTAGCACAGGTGAAAGGATTTCTAGGCATCTCGTAAAGGTAGAACTACATGGTTCACTTTAAGGTACAATATATAATTAAGTGTGTTGATACGAACATTGTCTTCTTGGTTATGTTTTCATTAATAGAATCAGAAATATTTTATTCAGGATTACATTTGTCTTAAAGTTCCATGTAAAAGTAACTGTTCTGCTGAGATGTTTCAGAGCAAGAAAATACATGATATCCCACATTTTCAGACCTTTATAAATAGAGGAAGTAGTTTACTCCATGATTTTAAATGTAGCACTGGTGAGTGACAAACATTTTTGTTTTCCTTTAGTCATTAAATTTCTATGATTTAACTTTTTATTGATTCTTATTTCTATGTCATAATCTGCCTGTATATTTCCCAATAATTAAAAAACTTCCAACTAAAATTGTAAGAATTGGTGAAATTTATTAGTATAAGATCAATGCTTTTAATAAGGTACTTCATTAATTATAGTTTCAAGTAAATACTAAACATATTTTTTTTATATTTTGGTGAGAGATGACAATTTTGTTTGGCACATCATCCCTTCTTCTTTAATGACATTTGCCAGATCTATCTGTCCTGCTGTTTTAAAACTTTGGTAAGGCAAAAACCTTTGAAGCCTCTCTCCATACTGTTGTACAGATTGAAACTGGGGATTTTAACAACACTTTAAGTGTAACCAGGTTAGATTCTTTAGTAAATGAAGGCAGTTCTGTTAACCTAGTGCAAATAAAGAAGCAAAAACCCCACAAAAACCCAAAAACCATCAGAAGAATCAGTGTTTTCCATGAACTGTTTTCAGTATTGTTGTACTGAGTTAAGAACACAGTTTTATTAGCTCATCACTTTCTTTTTTTTTTTTTTTTTTTTTTTTTTTTTTTTTCCA